GGCGCGGCGCCGGGCCGCGGCGCCCAGGGCGGTAGCAGCAGCACGAGGCCCAGGGCGAGCGCCCAGGAGAGCGCCAGCATGCCCGCCGTGTGGCGCCGCTGGTACAGCGCCTGGTAGGTGGCAGGCGCCCGGGTGATGAGCAGGTAGCGGTTCAGGGCCACCAGGCAGTGGGACAAGAGGGACACGGTGAGCCCAAGGCCTAGCAGCCCGCCCCGCAGCAGGCGGTAGCTGCCGCCGGCGCCGTCCCAGTCCGCGGGGGGCTCCGCCGAGCCGGTGGGCAGGAGCCCGAGCACCGCCTCCTGCGGCATCCAGAGGGCGCAGACGCTGAGGTCGGCGGCGCAGCCGTTCACGATGAAGGCGTTGCTGGTGGTCTGCAGCTTTCGGAAGGACGACACGAGATAGATGACCATGCCGTTGGCCAGCGTGCCCCCGATGGCCAGGCCCGAGTACAGAAGGGACACGGGGATGCGCCGGCCCGCCCACGACTCCTCTTCCTCGCAGAACAGAAGCAGCGATCCCCCGGTGGTGGAGGACGTGGACGTGGAGGAGGAGTTGGTCATTCTGGCCAACTCTTCACACCTCGCTTGCTAGCATCAGCTTCTCACAGCGTGGCCCATCCTGAGGGCCGCCTGCAGGGAGGGCAGAGACATCCCTTCAGCCCTCTGCCACCGACACGAAAGGCTGAAGCCGAATGATGGGCTGGGGGAGGGGGAGAGAGGGAGCTCGAGGAGGACGGGGGTGGCAGATGACAGGTACCTGCCTCGGAAATGTCTCCAGTGCCAGGGGAAAGGCCTCTTTGCATTCAGCAGGCACCAGGGAAGCCCAAGCCCTGGGACAGAGCAATACCAAGAGTCTCCCCTTCTCCCCCCAAACACACACGTGCACGCACACACACACGCACACACACAGTTGGGAATATTGCCAGACAGAGCCCCTAGTTTCCAGGAGAAAGCAGAGAGATCCCAGCTGGGGAAAATGCCAGGGGAGAGGAGTTCGGGGGTACCTTACTTTTGGGTTGATCGTTGGCTGGCAGTCGCGGAGGCAGGGATGCCAGGAAATACCTCCTCACAGCAGCATCTGTGGTCCCAAAATCAACAGGAGAAACTCAGCTGGGATCAGTGCCAGGAGCAAGTGCTCGCTTCTCCCAAGCAGCATCCACACACATGGTCCTAGGCAGAAATCGGCAGCTGCAGGGAGATTTCTCAGCTGGCAGCAGGGCTGGGGAAAGTCAAGTGGCAGGCTGCAAGCCCAGAAGGATGGGCAGGCAGGGAGCAGAAGCAGGGATGCTTGGCTGCAAAAGCAGAAGCTGAGCTCAAGAGGAGAGCACCCTGTGCTCAGAAGCAAGAGTGGTGGCTGATGCGGTGAACCCACACGAAGCTCTCTCGTGCTCACTTATACATCACCCAGGGAAAAGGCAGCCTTTCCACGCTTGGCATGAATTATTCAATAGCTTCTATCTTGTGGAAGGAAAAAAATATCTTGTTCAGAAAGTCCTGTAATTAACAAGTTTCTCTGTCTTGTCTTTTCTCTCTTTCTCTCAATCACCTTATTTTTCACCCTGCTTCATTTTTCTTCCCTTCGTTTTTTATTCCTCTCATCCGTGTTTGAATAAAATTTAATATGCTCCTAATATATTTCATCCTAGGCCTGTGCATTCTGTGGCAAGATTTTTCCGAGGGATGAATATACTCCCAGTACCCAGGACTGATCTCTTCCATCCCACACTTGCAGAGAGAATTACTTTATAACCTAAATGAAATTCATTTTTTCTTTGGTAAGGTGGGACATGGGTAATTATCCACAGAAAATCCCCAAGTCTCCATTTAAATCATCATTTTGATTTTATTCTCATCACCAAACTCCTTTCTGGGGTTTGGCTTGTGTTCAGGAATGAAATGGTTAGAGGGTAAAAATGAAATGGTCAAGTTAAAAGTAGGTGTCGGGGAGAAAGAAAGAAACCTGAATAATCCACAGTGTCCATGACAAAGATGGCTCTTTCCTTGAGAACTTTTTATTTTGTGGTGTTAGATGGAGATTTGCAGTCAGATGTCGGAAACTTCTTTGACGCAAGCTCTTATTTAATTATTCTGCATGGGAAATTCTCCATAAAAGCCATTCTTCCCCCCCACCCCGCCCCATAAATCGATTTTCACTGCGAAAATCATTTATTTGAAAACTGAACTCAGTATGGAATATGGTAACATGGCATAATGGAAAAAATGCTCGGTGGGGTTTCAGGACACCTGAGTTCTAAGCTGAGCATCCACCAACCGGTCTTGTGATGGGTCAAAGAAGAAGTTTTCACTCAGTGACTTCCAAGGCCCTTTCTTTTCAAACTTTCTGTGAATCCCCACGCATAAATTTAACATTTCTCCTCCCTAGTTCTGACAATAGAAACGTACCTCCTCTGCCTAATGCGTGCTGTAGTCCTAGATCCTACAGCCTGAGTCCTTTCCCAGCTGTCCATAGGGTAACATTTCAGAATGGAGTGCAAGGTGTGCTCCCTCGGCTTTCCTCTCTCCCTTTCAAAGAACAGTATTAATTAATGACTGCTAACAACTCTAATGGGGTTCGAGCTAAGCCTGACTCGATGGGTTTAGTCCTTTTAGGCAGTAATTAAGTGGAATGAGTTGAGTTGAAGGATTAAAGAGAAGAACCAGAGATTTGCTTTTCAGAGGACCGAAAGGTTCAGATATCAAGTTCATTGATGTTGAAGAGAATTTGCCATTGTCCTTTCCCAGTGGGCATTTGTCTTTATTGAGTCTCTGAGTACATCAAGCACAGCACGCCTGCAAGAGATTCCTCTAATTATTTAGAGTTAAAATTTGTTGAGATAAAAATTTCCTCTCAGGGCGCCTGGGTGGTTCCGTCGGTTAAGCCCCTGCCTTCAGCTCAGGTCATGATCCCAGAGTCCTGGGATGGAGCCCCACATCAGGCTCCCTGCTCAGCGGGGATCCTGCTTCTCCCTCTCCC